AGCAAAACACAATTGGTCTAAATGAAACTAAACTAAACAGTAATCCCTTGTTTCCTACCAGAGCGCAAGCTGATAAAGTCCGAGGAAGACCTGCCGCCTCAGACCCGCCAGCGCAGCAACACCCTCCCCAAGAGCTTCGGCTCTCAGCTGGACAAGAAGCCTCAGCAGGAGAAGGCGCCGAAGCCTCCGGTGGAAAACACCCTGGAGTCCATCATAAAGAAGCTGCAGGAGAAGAGGGAGGAGGTGAACCGCCCCGAGGACATCAAGGTAACACCCACCTCCGCCACCATACATTTAGATTCAAAAACAACCAAAAAGAACACGCCCACTCACTTCCTGTCTCCGCCCCGACAGGATATGACGCGGGAGCAAATCGGAGCCGAGAAAGTGGCCCTGCAGAAAGCTCTCCTCCACTATGAGAGCATCCAAGGCCGACCTGTAAGCCCCTCCTCCTGTCTGAGTAAAACCATCTCCCATCTACAGGAAGCTTAACGGGTTTCCTCTCCTTTCATTTCACTGCGCCAGGTGACCAAAAACGAGAGACAAGTCATGAAGCCGCTGTACGACCGATATCGCCTGGTGAAGCAGATCCTGTGCAGAGCCACCAGCATCCCCGTCATAGTAAGCATTATGTCATTAAGTCTCTTTTGCTGCCCCGCCCCCTTTAATCCCTGACGGTGCTGGCTGCTGCAGAGCCCGCTGTGGGAAGAGTCACGTTACAGACACGTTCATCCAGCTTTACTCATCAAACCATCCACGTTCAGAGATTTACAGATGGTGGCCCGAGTTTACAGGCAACACAACACGAGGGAGACTTTACCACAAACTATTGTTTTTGTTCAAATATACCAGTAATCAAATTTGGATTTAATTTTTTTAAATGCAAATTAGAACCTGAAGTGTGGACTGAGATTATCTAAATTTAGTCGTCACAGTAAACAAACCCCCCCACCCACCCTATTTTCTTTTTACTGTTCGGTTCTCTACAAGCCCCAGTCAGAAACTTTTGCTAAACGAGCCGTGACTCAAAACGGACACAGTCTCGTTCTCGTGACCTCGCTGTCTCAGACTTTGTTGGAGTGAGCGTCTGTGTGTGGTGGTTAACTCCTCCTTCTCGACCATCACCACAGGGCTCCCCCTCCAGCAAGCGCAGAGGCCCCCTCCTTCAGCCCATTATCGAGGGTGAAACCGCACTTTTCTTCGACGATATCAAGGTGAAGAGCTGCTCCACCTGCTTCAGTGATCAGTGACCCCCTCGCCTCGCTCCAACCCCCTCATCCCTTCCATCCTCCCTCTAACGAACCTGGCCAGAGCCTGTTGATTGGGTGGCTGTAGAGCTGTTGAATCAGTAGCTGCTGAGTTTTCAGACATATCTGATGCTGTTGCTCCTGTTTTTGGTGATGAGATACTAAAGCTTTAACACGTGGGGTTTCCATTTGAAATCAGTTTAATTTACTAAATAAATGTGCAGTAAATGGTGATTATTAACCATTGTTGACTAACACTGCATGATCGTGCTTTACGGAGGTTCCAAACTAATGTGTGCTGCTTGCCTTGCAGCTGGCGTCCCTTTTTAACCCGGCTTTGTTTGTGTCGTCTGTGCAGGAGGAGGAAGACGGCTCAGAGGACGACAGCGACACAAAGACTCAGGTCAACGTGAGCGTCAGGCCCGAGTTCGGCGTGTTCAGCTTCATGGACCCCATGGACGAGGAAGTGGACGGCTTCATTTCGCCCGTGGACGAGCTTTCGCCCTCCAAAACCTCAGCGGACATGGGCCTGTCCAACCTGCACTCAGCCTCCACGTGAGTACAGAGATGGGAGGCGTCGCTTCACGCTTACTGTAGGAGTAAATCCCAACTTTTTACTCCTTCATATTTTTTGATCTTATTCTCAACCACCCACTTTGCATTTAGCATTCCCGACTGAATGCTCACATCCAAAAAAAAAGGAAAATGCAATGACAAGCTGGCTTTAAGATCCTTCATCTATCAGAATGACTTGAGATCACCTCTGAAAACATTTGTATTATTCTGTAGCCTCATGTCGGCACCTCAGAAATAAAAAAAAAACTGTTTACTGGTTCGTCTGTGGACATGAATGAACAAGTTCCTCTAAGGTTTCATAACTAAAATAATATTAGAGTTTTAATTACTCTGTCACAGTAAAAAAAAAAAGCTTGGATGGCTTTTCTCCTCTCAGTTCAAAATAAGACACATAACAGCAAGCCGGCATCAGGCTCGCCGCGGAGATTTTCCTCCCATCCCCCTTATAGCAGGGTCAGAAGATAATCATGTTACACAATGGCCAGATGCAGCCTTTACTGCGAAACGTGCTGCCATACTCTTCTCTGCAAAATGCTTGTTGCAACTCGTCGTTTTGTACCAGGAACGCTTTTAAAATTCTGCTTAATATGTTTAAAAAAAAGCCTTTAATTGATGTCATTCACTGATTTCCCCTCCGCCTTGATTTTGTCCTGCGAGTTCATCTTCAGCAGAAAATTGTCTGAATATTCTGTTGAACATGACAGCGTTTAGGATGAGAGGAGAAACGGCTTTACTGTCAACAAAACGTGTCCCTTTTGTGTTTTTATGTAAGCATTTTAAATTCTCACGAGCTAAATGATAAAAACCTCTAAAAAACTTCTAAAAAAAATGGTAGTCGCCCAGAAGATCTTGTTAGATCCTTTCATTCCAGCTCACCCCATCTGGAAGAGACTGGGTTAATAAGCTGTGGTCAAACCAGAACTCATCCTAACAGTTTCTCTCACATTCCGCTCTTTATTTGGCAAAGTTGTGTTCTAACTCATATTTTATGTCATTTTTCCAGCCAGCTTTAAAATGAAAATAGTGTTTCCCGAAGGCGTGCACATCACCCACCTTTCATATAAAGTTTTATACAGTTTTTTAATGCTCAAAGTTTGTATTGGCAATGACTGTCAGCTACTACCATACCAAATTTTATTTTAGTATCTGTAAAAATGACTGAGTTATGGCTATTTTTTGTGTTTTCTAAGTTTAGTCAGCTTTGGCAGCCATCTAGAATCAAGTCAACTCCAAAAGTTAATCAGCTGTAGATGTTCACCCAGTGATTGATTTCTGAAAGTTTCATTAAAATCTGTCCACTGGTTTAATGGGATATTTTGCTGACAGACACTACTGAGGCTGCATGCCGTATTAAACCCAAACAACATCTGACGTGAGACGTTTAAATGTTTCTCACTCTCTTTCTCCGTCTCAGGGAGGAACTTGTGGAGCAGCTTCAGGAGACGAGAGAGGAGAAGAAGAGGATCCGCAAGAACCTGAAGGAGTTCGAGGACCAGTTCTTCAGACAAAACGGGAGGTAAGAGGAGAAAGAGAACCAGAACATGAAGCGGCTTATTTTTCAGCTCCGTCTCCTGAAAGCTCTTGTCTCGTTTTTATTTCATTGTTTATTTTTTTTACAGAACCGTCCAGAAGGAGGACCGCTCCCCGCTGGCGGACGAGTACCACGAATACAAACACGTCAAAGCCAAGCTGCGACTGCTGGAGGTGCTCATCAGCAAAAGAGACGCCACTAAGTTCATATGAGACTTAAAAAAAAACAACACAACGGGACAATAAAGTCAAACACATCTCACCCTGCTGGAAGAAACTGGGATCAACATGCTGCTCTGGGATCGTCTAATCTGTCCATCACCGTGAGGGTGGGGGGTCAGAGTCAGAACCACACCTGCTTCACACGAGAACTGCCGGACCTCACCTCCAAAACTGGACGTTTGTCCAGACGAAGTCACAGACGCACAAATATTGTAAATCTCCCTAATTATTATGCTGATAATTTATTTTACCAATTTTTAATGTAAGAGTGTTTCTCTTCTGTAGACACGAAAAAACTAGTGAAAACGACTAGACGTAATTTCTTTTTTACAGAATTTGTGAAGAAGAAGTGTATTTATGTGTATTTTTCTAAGGGAGATGTCACTGTTTGACAGATTTCACTTAGTGGATGATGTTTATTTCAGCTTCAACCATCTTGTTCCGTCTGAAATGATCTTTTTGCTTCTTTAGAAGTTCAAATAAAAACTTTCACTACAGCCCAAAGACAGCAGCTCAGCGCAACTGAATCAGTCGAGCAGCTTGTTTCTATGACCGTGTCGACAGTTGACTGTGTGTTCGTTGGCATGCTTCGTGTTACCTTTTTAATGTCAGATAAGCTAATCTTTAAATCACTGCTAGAAGAAAAGCAGAGGACAGAAAAAAGAAGTGGGCTGCTTTAAAGTGAGGTGTTTGTTTTCCTGTAAATAAGGATCACTCAGTATGTTTACATTTCTTGTGAGCGAGTACTTTTTTTCCCCCCCCCCTTTTTCTCCAAAATGGATGATTATCTATGAATTTTGTTTTCACCTCACTTACAGAGAAGGAAAAAAAGAAAACACTGGTCAGGGTTCATGGATCTCGAGTGTGTACATTTTAGTACATAAATCCTATTTTGTATATAACATGAATTAAATCGTATTTTTATGGATTTCTGTGGGCTTTGTTTGTTTTTATTCATGTTTTTAATGGTTGAAAGTTAAGAAAAATGCGAGTATAAAAATACAAAATCAGACTAAAAGATCAGAGTAAGTCCAGAGGGCTGCACTTTACAGGTGAATATGTTGATAAGAAATTTTAATTCAAAGAAATGTATAATGAACAATAATTCGTATTTAACTAAAAAGATTTGCAGAATGTAGAAAATTATTGTAAAAAATGATTTAAATGAAAGACATCACTTAAAAACTATAATAAAAAATTATAAATAATGTAAAATTGACTAAACTAAAGAAAGCATAAAACACAAATCATATTACAATTTGTAATGTATTTCATGCTGTACAGTGTCCTCGAATCCTGAAAGGCACTTTTTAAAAAATGTATTATTAGCATAGTAGTAAATGAAACAACAGATCTTTGTAGAACATGATATCGAAAAGTTTTAAAACAGAAAACCTCGTCTAGCTTTAATATAAAATAAAGCCTCTGAAAAGACAAACACATCACAACGTGCAGTTTGTGTTGATGAACTCTAGATTTGGATCTCTGGGTAGCTCCTTCTAAAACCTCACAGAACTAGCTCAAAGTGACAGAGGTCAGAGGTCAGGTCAGCCACACACTGAGAGGCTTTCAAGGCAGTAAGCAGGAGTTTGACAGACAGCTGCGTTCACAAACGCAGCTGTCTGGGAAAAAATAAACCAAGCTACTTCAAACTGATGCTGAAGAAAATCACAAATATGCAGAAAGGATCTAAAACGGTGACTGAGCTCAGATCAAAAAGTAGCATTCCACCACTCTCCATGCCAACCCTGACAAAAACATTCTAAACGGTTCATTACATCACCTTCATTTCACAAACAAGTTTCTGTGATTTGATTAAACTAATGTTCCTAACGTCACCAGAATTTTTACATAGAATTAGCTTTTTTTTTTTT